CTTTGAGTACAAGTATCAATACTTTCACTGAAGTACTTCATCCAGTACTGCTTATTCACTGGTCGAATGTGAAAATGTAATATTTTGAGTTTTGGGTTTCCAATATGTTTTAAAATTAACTATAACATGTAAAATGCACCACTTTTCTATGTAATATATGAGTTTAACTTTTAATTAAAGCGATGAAAATAAGGCTTTTCAATTATATTCAGCTTTTTGAAGATACCTCTTATCAGACAAATATGTGATTTATGATGTGTCAAGAATAAGGTATTCACTGGAGATTTTTTTTCACACTAAGTTTATTGTTCTTGAGAGTGACTCATAGACAGAAAGGATACACTATTATTTTTTACCCTTTTACAAGAGAAACAGATACAGTATAGATCATACTTAGAACATGTTTTAACCTTTTTATGAGGACAATATAACACTGATTATTTACAGCAGATTGCTTAAATATTTACTTTTTTAAACTCTTAAATTACTTTATGTTACAGAACCATCAACTTGGAACATTTATTTCCATTATTGTTGGACATAAATATTGATAATCAACTGATGGTTCTGTTATTGCACGTCCCTTTTAGAATCATATGGACAGCTCTGAAGATGGCATTCAGGTCCCAGTTCACATCTCAGATTACACCACAAACATGATGGCCGTCCTTTAACTAACAATAAATACTAGAAAAACAAGAAAATGACCTCAGAATAGGCAGGTGGGTTTGCATGTCAGGATGGGGAATTTTATCACAGATTTAGAGAAGGTTTTTTTTTAAATGAATAATTGGCACAGCTGTACCTGCAGAGAGATCACAGACTACATCATTTGTTATCTCAATCAAAGCCAACTGAGTGTGTGGAGCTTGACTTTGGAGAGACAGGTCTTTGACACTTGGGTAAAACTTAAAGAGATGCCGTTTCAAATTCTAGTCAACGCCTTGGTGCAGAGTTTCACAAACTTTTCAGTTTCTGACCCAGAAAAGACCGACAAGAGTCGACTCATGAGCCAAACTATTGGATGAGAACACAAATGCTTCTACAAATCAATTAAATATTGGTCCAATAATATTTCAAAAATCCATCAACAATCAACTTTTGGTTTTGTAAATATCTGAGGGAGGCTTTTATATCCTTAATAGGTTTTAACATACATTAATAATTGAACACACATGATAAATTTACCTCTGCATTTAATCCATCCCCTTAGGGAAAAGTGGGCTGCCATTGTGCGGCGCCCAGGGAGAGATCGGGCGTTAAGGTTCTTGGATGGTGGTTGGGTGTCTGTGTCTGTTTTGGACTATAAATATTAATATAAAAATATCACCATGTTTTAATAGATAATATTATGTTTGGAATGTTTTTGGCTAATAAATCTAAAGAATGTTTTAATATATAGGTTCATTTTATGTGCAAAATATTTTTATCAGAAAACTCAGTCCTATTAAATCTATGATGCAATTGAATATATGAAATTCATTTGTAAATATATGAACATCTCAGTGTTGTTTTCTTGTTTGTTTTTTGTCTTATTACCAAGTTAATTAGTTCATTGAATTTGTTTATAACTGTGCATTGTTTCAAAAAGCTTTCTTTGTCAAAAAGTTGTCTCTATGCTGTTGCCACATCTGAGCTTCTCTTTTCTTGTAGATGGATCAGTCATCAGGTCGTGCTTATCTGTTAGATCTGCCTTTAAAAATCCCAAACATGTTGGTTTGACTCCGACTGAGGTCAGGGTGGGTTGTGTCTGTTTCCGTCACACACTGACCGCCTGAAATCTTCCACTTTACTCAAATTAACACTTTGTAACTGACTCACCCTGCAGATTGATCACAACTGGCAAAAACTACATAAATTCCCCAATTGGGGTAAAATCTAGAATTAATCCTTTAGTGTGGCCCCAGGTTTCAGTGGCTCCTGAATCTTTTAAAACAATTTCTTTGAGTGTTGAAAGCCTTAACATCTCTGAGGCTCCAGGTACATTCGAGATGATGAGAAAGTTTCAACTCTTTCTTGGTTTTTTGATGATAAAAAATAAAGAAATTGAGTTACAATAAAAATGGAATGCTGACTGGTTTCTGGAGAAACCAATTTTTAAAAAGTTCTGGTCCCTGGAAGTTTATCTGATCCTAATTGTACTCCAGTCAAAACAAGGTGCTAATAGTTATCAACCATCCCTGTTTCTGAGTCATTTCTAGTCAATCAGTGCTTTAAAAAAAAATCCTAAGGTTCAGTTTCAGTCCCAGTGAACCACTTACTGGTCTTATACTGTAATCGCTGTGATGCTAGTTCAGCCACAGACCCAGGGAACCCATGCAGGTTATTATTTGTCCTGGTACTTGCTCAGGCTTGCCGTTGGTCTTTCTCGGCTGCCAAGTTCTCTGGGACTGCGCTGCTTTTTTTTGTTAAATTTGGACGAATCTCTGTCGAAGACCTCAGCTGAGAGCAGCGCAGACACAAGGTCATCAAACTCTCCTCCTTCTTCTTGCACTCCTTTGGTCTTGTTCATCCTCTGCTCCCGCTCTTTCTTCATCTGTAAGAGCAGCAGGGAAGTAAGGATGGACTTTATTTAATTAACAAGGAGACACTGTGAAGGTAACACTGTGACTAATAGCTGATAAAGAACCACATGGGGGGTTTCTCAGATTTCTACTGACCTGAGACTCCATGAGTGCCCGTTTCTTCTCCTCCTCCTGCCGGCGGACCATGTCCTCGTTCTCCTGTTGAGCTTCAGAGTACGCCAAGAGGAAAGTGTTGAAGATCCCAAAGAAGTCATCTGGCTGCTGGCTAGACGACTCCTCTCCAAAGTATGTCAGCGCCTTTGCAAACTTCATCAGAAAACACATAATTAATATGGAGGTGTGACCTACAACACCACGCTAACCTCCCTTTGCTGAACTTTTGGAGCACTACCAGAGCTCTGGAGATTCAATAGTAATAATGAAAGCGTCTCTAATATAAACATACATAATTAAAGAATGTTTAGGTCAAAAGACATGTGAATGAAACATATAGACCAACACAACCTGGATATAATGAAAATGAGAAACCCACCAGGTCTTTAGCCTCTCGAAGCGAATCTTCTACATCTGAGAAACTGAAGGATGCCACGGTAATGAACTGACTGACCACGGTCACAAACTTATCAACTGGTTGCTGGGTGGGCTGGTTCTTCTGGTACTGCAGCTCCTACATACAACCACACCCAGGTTAATGTCAATCCCACGCAGCTCAGCAGGTGTTTCATACTTTCACTGATCTTACCTCCTCAATGCTCTTCAGACCAGATCTCAAGGTGTTGATCTCCTTCTCTAACTCGGTCATGCTGTCAATATAAAAAAGTAACAGGGGTTATTACTGATTGCATTTCAAACAGTAACATATCAGATTAGCACACTTGATTCAGAGAGTATGTGCTCTTATTACTTGACTTTAGAAGCTTCTGGAACGCTCTGCAGCTCCTTGCTGAATGATGCTGCTACAGGAAATTTATCCTCCAGCACAGTGATCATGTAATGCAGCAGAGTGATGTTCCTAGAAAAATTTAAAAAATAAAGAGTCACTAATACCTAAGCATCAAATTACTACAGGTAGTCTGCTGACAGCCAGCTAATGTGGCTCATTTGCATCAAAAAAATTATTTGGTATCATCTGACTGAGGCTGTGTCCGAAAGGCAGCCCTAATCACTATATAGGGCATTATATAGTGATCACACAATTTTAGATGAGTGTCTGAACGTCTATTGGATGAAAACATAGTGGACTTGAAATTTCCCACAAAACACCTAAAAATATAGTAATCCTCCATGGTCACAGATGAGCAGATATATCCCAGATTGCTTTGAGAGATCTCTTCTCATAAGTTTTATGTGATTTGTTGTGGCGGTGACAAATAACAAAGATGGCTCAGGAATATTGCAGGGAGGCGGAGTTACGTGACCAAGGGGAGTGAAAACAAGTGATCATTTGTCCGAACAGCCAGTTAACTGAGTTCACTATAAAGAACACTATATAGTCCCTGCTCTATATAGTGACTGAGGGATTTATAGATTAGATTGGATGTTTGGGCACAGCCTGAGTTTTGCGTCATACCTGTCCTTGCTGGATTTGGTGTCAACCATCTTGTTTAGGCTTGAAACCTTGAATCCATAGGCGTTTCCACGTTGTCCTTTGTTCATATAGTTCCCAAGGGCCAGAACCACCTGCAGCAGCTGACGGAGAGCCTTGCTCTGGACCACCTCCTCTGAGGCAAGGCTGAGAGCTAAAATGAGAGACACAATGAGGAAATGGACAACGGGGATCGCAGTACAGACAATTATGAATTTCTACCTTTGATCTTAGGTTTGACCTCAGACATTCGGTCAGTAAACTTCTTCTTGAAGTGAAGAGCCTGAAGTCTCTGCTGGTAGTGGTTGATTCTGGTTTAGGAGAAGAAAATATCAGAGATGGATTTGATCCAACCCTACTGGTCTCACTGATAGAGATCCAACTGCCTCCTACCAAATGGGTATAGTTTTATTTTACAGTACTGGTATCTTTGAAGAAGATCCGATATTGAGGCTTAGACCGGCTGTATATTCTTTTTATTAATTTCCATTAAACGTCCAAGAAAACACAAACTAACACACAAAAAAATTGCTTCCCCTAAATCCTCTTTGTATAACAACTTATTCTTTGACTGTTCAAGTGAAACTGGTGCTAACCTCCCAAGGTAAATGGGACCAAAACACATTGAACCCTGAACCTTGTTCCCCAGTTGTCGCAAAGTTACAGAGAGACAAAAAGGAAGCTGGAGTATTAGAAAAGAAGATGTAAGCTCCGACAAAAAATCCTGAAATCTACCTTCATGTAGCTAAAAAGTAACCTTTTCTTACACCAGTTGATTAAAGAAAATAAAAGCCTAATCTAATCAGGCTCCACCTTCTTATTTCAGTGTTACTGAATTTTAGTTCTGTTAGAACCACACCATCCAACCAACCAATCACCAAACATTGCACCTGTCTAAGACTCAGTTGACAAAACACCCCCTACAACTTTACTTCCACCCCAGAAAAATATATCAGCAGACAGGATTTTTTGCCATTTTCAGACTTTTGTTTTTACATACCTGCTCATGTCATACAAGAAGCGGTCAGGTCGAGCCATGCGCTCCAATTCATGTTTGTGTTCTTCTAAGAGATCCACATCGCTTTTCTCAGGGACAAACCTCAGGAGCTAATACACAGAGAACATAAAAAATAATCTATTTAGTTCATCGTCAGGTACAAAGACTGAATTCAAGGTTCTATCTCCACATCCTGAACGGTTGTGAGTTTCCTACCTGTTCCAACATGTCTTTGGGTAACTCCTCTTGATCGTCCATGCTCAGGACAGCTTGGCAGATCTCCTCATTGGTCATTTTTAGTCTGTTACACACAAATGACACGTTCAGAACTTATTCACAAGAGTCCTCCAAGATGCAACAACTACGAACAACTACAGACAGACCTGGAAACTGTTTCTGGAAATGAAGCACACAGCAAACTGATCAAAACTCATAAACAAATCTAAAATTTTGAAATATTTAGGAAACTGACAATGGCCCAGAAAAGAGGTTATAAGACTTGATAACACTAAAGGAAACATCCCAAAACCCAGATATGGGTTCTGAGATGCAACTTGTGTCAAAAACAACAAATCCAATTCTTATCAGTATCTACAAGCAGGTTCTTTAAATGGCCCACAAACCAAGAATTGGACCAGATAAATAAATAAACCCTAAAATAGGTCCTTAGACTAAAAAACTTAAAGACTGACACTATCAGCAAACCTTAGACCAATAAACGGAAGCACTAATGAGCTCAGAGACCCTAAACTAGACCCAGTTACTGACCGTGACAGCAGGATGTTACAGTTTTGCGCTCGGCGGCCATCAATCACTGACAGTTCTTTGACTTTTTTAACAGCTTCAGTTCCTCCAGTTTCTTTCTGTAAAAACACACACAGATATGTCAGAGACCAGCAGCTATATTAAATACACCAAGTCCAGCCACCCTAGCTACAGTATGGCCAGAGCATGTTTTAAACTGACTGATATGATGTGTTTCCTGTGGATTTAATGAAAGCATGTTGTCTTACTGTTGCTCGCTGGTAAGCTGAGAAAGTCTTCTGAAACTCCCCAAGATCCAGAACTTTGAACACATCCTCATCATTGATATCTTTCCAGACTGTTCCTGCTATCTTGGTCTGAAACAACGACAAACCTCTTTAGAGCTTTGATTATGCAATAAGCTTTTAAATAATCAGATCTCTTTGCCAGCAATGAATTTGATAAAAATATGATAAACTGTCTGCAGAGTCGATATTTTACGGTATCATTCTGGGGTTATGTTCACACAATAATAAAAATGTCAGTGTTGTGACAACTTTAGTAGACCACACAACTACAAGGAGTCTCACAAGCAAATCAGGCTAATGGGACTCTTTCAACTTGAAAGCATCCATTACAGCATCACTACTCGCTTGGGCCAGCCAAGTCTGTTCAGCTTTCTCGTCTTCCAGCATATCCAAATCACCACCGGGTGGTGATCGATAGACAGCTCTGCCCCTCTTTTCCCCTGAGTGTCAAAGACATGCATCTGAAGGTCAGAAGATTTAACTACAAAGTCAATCATCAACCTTCAGTTAAGGGTGTCCTGGTGCCAAGTGTACTGATGAACATCATTACACGTGAAGATGGTGTTCATTGTAGACAATCCATTAATTGCACAGATGTCACAGTGGTGTTGAAGTCCCCTAGCAAAATGATGGAGTGCCCGAGAGGATTGCTATCCAGTATGCTAGCCAGGGGTGTTAAGAACCCCAAGTAGTCTTGGAAGGTTGATACACCTTCCATGGTGGAAACAGAGACTGGGAGCCAGACGTATTCATTTCCCAGGCTAAAGTCATTAAGGTTATCAAAAATCTCACTTCTCACCCTCCCCAGGAAGGACCATGCCAGGGTTCTAGAGAAGGGAGTCTGGCTGAGCGTTGAATCTTCACTGCAGGAGGAGCAGTATTGTTTTTGTCCTGGCAGTGAAACAGTGGACTTCACCCTCTTCAGAGTGCTCGATGATTCATGGGAGTTGCCCAAATACTCCATATGTGTTTTGTGGACTGGAGCGAGGAGTCCTTTTAGTTGGTGTTATTAGCTTGCTGAGTAAGCCAGCTCTGAATTGCAGTCTGACCTGTTCCCAGTACATGTAGGACTCCAGCAGGGTTTCCCTTTGTCACCGGTCCTGTTCATAACCTTCATGGACAAGACTTTTAAGTACAGCCAAGAGACGGAGGGGATCTGGTATGGGGAACGGCAGATTTAGTCCCTGCTTTTTGCAAATGACTTGGTTCTGTTGGCTCCCTCCGGCCAAGATCTACAACATGCACTGGAGTGGTTTTCAGCCAACCTGAGTGAAGATCAGTTTCTCTGTGTCTGAGGCCATGGTTTCTGAGTGGAAAAGGGTGGCTTTCCTCATTCCTGTTCAAGGGGAGTTCCTGTCCAAAGTGGAGAAGTTCAAGTATCTTGGCGTCTTGTTCATGACTGAGGGGAAAATGGAGCGGCATATTGTAAAACGGTTTGGTGAGGCTGCTGCTATAATGTAGAAGCTGCACCAGTCTGTAGTGGTGGCTCGAGAGCTGTGACAAAAAGGCAAATATTGAAGAATTTTATATTGTTTTTCCTTTGTGAATAATACAATCAACTATTATTGTTGTCGATTGACAAGACAGAATCATTAAAAGTCATTATTTCAGCTCATTGTTTTGACTGTTATTCTAAAGTTTACAGTACAGAGAAGGTAAACTTAAAATATGTCAAAAACTATAAATCTTCTTGAAGTAATTGGATTACAATGTTTGAAAATTGGGCCTAAGAGTTCTCTTTTTTGTAAATCAAAATAAGGTCCTTGTACAGTTCAGCACTCCTATCAGGATGTCCTTTAGATGCTTCCAGAGGATTTCCAATAAGGGACTAGAGAACTTTCCTGAGGAGAGTGATGTCAGGGTCTCCCTGGTTAGGAGGGATATAATGGATGAGAGCAAGGCTTAACAGTCCACAGGTACATAGATAAACCTTAAGTAGAGGTGATGAAAGATGAAGCTTAACTCACAATTGTCTTTGTGGATTCTGGAAACTCGCTTCAGAATAGTTAAACCTGCAGCTGCTATAAAACCTGAACTAGTTCTGTGAAAATAACACAGTGAAAGGAAGTCAAGTTTACCTCTGGTAGTTTGCTCCAGTTAAATGACTTCAGGGGACTGGATGGCTGAGGGATGTTTTTCTTCTTTTCTGCCATCCCTAAAGGAAGTCCAGGGGGAGGAGGAGGGGCTAAAGGAGCCACGCCAAAGGCTGGCGGACCACCTGGAGGAGGAGGTGGAGGAGGCGGAGGAGGTGGAGGAGCAGGGGAACTGGGTGAAGATACAGATGAAACAAAACCACCAGAAGTGACTGGAGGCCCTCCTGGAACACTAGAGCTCTAAGAGGAGAGATGAGCTTCTTTAGAACTAAAAAATGCAGAAGCAGAAACGTTTTTAATCTGAGTTTTCAAGTGAGAACTTACAGAGCTGAACTGCTGTAAGCGAGCGTTAAGCTCCTCCACTTGTTGCTTAGTCCGTTTGTGCTCATTGGTCTCTCGCTCAAGCTTATTTTTCATGTTGTTCACTGTCTCCATCAGCTCTTCTTTCTCTTTATTCTTGGCCTCACACTCCCTCTCTTTCTTGTCCAAGCGTTTTTCCAGCGTCCTTGTCTCTGAGCAGTTAACATGCAGTTTGAGTATGTTACATCAACAGAAAGTGGCAGCTGAAATGCAGACATATGCTTTTACCTTCTCGCATTTTATCTGCATCGTCTTTCCACCTTTTCACCTCATTTTCCTTAACTAACCTGTTTAAAACACAAAGAAATCAGGTTATTGACTAGTTAGCTGGGATTACTTCTAGTTTTCAGCAACATGCTATCAAAGTTAAATCGTGTAGAATGCATAACTGGAAAAAAATGAAAGAAAGTATGTTTTACATTTAAGACCAAATGACATCACTGAGAACTTGAAACAATTTTTCCCCCCAGCTTCAGTCATTACACTGTCAAAAGTACAAAGCAACGAGATTAACTCTCTGCATTTAACCCATCTCTTTGGGGAGCAGTGGGGTGGCATTGTGCAGTTCCCATGGAACAGTGTGGGGGTTAAGGGTATTTGCTCAGGGACCCAGAGTGGCAGCCTGTGGGAGTGGGGCTTGAACTCAGAACCTCAGGATTCCAAACTCTACAGTATGGCCTAACCACTAGTCGCCACTTCCCTAGAAAACCCACCTACGGGTGGTGGCAATTTCAAAGTCTGCATTGGTGGATTGGGCATAAAGATGCTCGCCCAAAGAGGGACTTGAAACCACAACCATGAGATTAAGAGTTTCACATGAGATTAAGAGTTTTATGCTCTACCGACTTCGCTACTATTAAAAAAATGTAAAAATATATATATAATTTTTGAAAAACTTGGTTTTGGTGTGTGATCCTAAAAATGAAGTTAAGCAACCTCTAGATGTCCCTGTAGAACTACAGAGCTTCAGTTATGCTCTCTACAAGAAGGTTCAGAGCAGACTGTACTTCCTCATGAAGCTTTGGTCCTTTAGAGTTTGCAGCAAGATGCTGCATATCTTACATCAGTATGTTGTGGAGAATCTGATCTTCTCTGCCATCATCTGCCAGGGAAACAGCATCATGACTTAAAAGAGCTCAAGAAGCTGTTAAAGAAAGCCGGCTTTGTTTTGGAACTCTTCTAGAACATCTGGAGGCGATTTCACGAAGAGGATTTCTTCATTGTGATGAAAATGATGGACAACAGTGAGCATCCTCTACAGGGCAGGGTGACAGGTGGAAAAATCAGGGCCACTGGCTTTATCTTCCACCAACAGCTGGTTAGGAGGATGAATTGTGTTGCTCAATGTCACAGCTGCTAGAGCTAGGCGTTGAACTGCCAACCCACAGCGTACAGAAAGAACTCCTGCCTCCTGAGCCGCTGTCCCGCCTTTGTAGCACTTGCATGTATTTTTTTTTTAGTTAGCATAGTATATACACTGCAACGTACAAACACAGTATGTGAGCATGCGTTTACTGCGGCGTTAGAAGTGTTAGATGCATCAGTTTGTTGTGCACAGCAAAAACAATCTAGAAATAAGTATATAAGTTTCCTAAATTAAGTGTATTTACCCTTAATTTTAGCAGATAAATAAGAAGATTTGCCAGGGGAATGAGTATTTTTATTCTTGGAATAAGATCATTAGATAATATGCACTTGAAATAAGATAATGCAGTTGTAATTTCTTATTTTACATGTCAATTGTCTTGTTCCATTGGCAAATTGTCTCACTTATCTCCTCAATTCAAGGACAAATGCACTTATTTTAAGAAAAAATTACTTATTTAGATTTCATTTTTTGCAGTGTGCAACCAGATAGTCCGAGGTTCAATCATTGTGTCCTTGGGCAAGACACTTATCCTGCATCACCAACAGATGGTAATCAGAGGGCCTGGTGGTGCCTGTGTACGGCAGCCTACCTTCAGTCATTGCACCACAGGGCAGCTGTGGCTACAATTAAAGTTACCACAGTCACTTTGTGAATAACTGAATGCAATGTGGAGTACTTTGGCCATTTAACTTTTTACAAACATAGCATATAAAGATAAAGTGACGTGTAGAGTTAAGTCAACAAAAGCTTTGTAGTTATTGTTATTTTCTATCTACCCTGCCATTTGGAAATCAAGTGAATAAAAAGTAATACATTTAAGTATTGGTTTAATTAGTGTATTTAGAAAACAATTGATTGAAAAAGTGTTTCTTCTTCATAAATATGTTTTATATATGTTCGATTTTCGTCTTTAAAACAAGGTTTTGCACATAACGATGTTTTTATTTTTGCTTATATCATTTTTTGACAACTAATCAGACGTCATAATCGGTATACTTTTTACTCTTTAGTTTCTTTGGATGGTTGTTATTTACATTCAATTGCATTTAAAAATACCCTTAGCTATTTTAAATGTTACTCTTAGATACTCTTTAAATGTTTGAACTCACATGCGCACAATATTCTTTACATTGAAGTCCTCCAGTGGGGCCATGTCTGGGTCTTCACCTTTATCCGTCTGCAGAACCAGCTGCTGAATTATGCGGTCCAACAGCACCCAGTATTGCAGCGTGGTCCTGCTGTTATTATCTATATATAGACCCATTTTGAATTAATTCTGCTGTTAAAACAATGAAATGAAGACAGACAAACAGCATGAAAATGGTAGGTAATGTTTTACATGGTATCATGAGGCAGTGCTGCAGCACAGACAGAAGGTGAGGGTAAGCTTCAGTGTTGTTTAGTTTATTCCTGATCAAATCAAACATCTGGCTCGCGCTCTTAGTGTTGATGTGGATCTGAAGAAAAACAGAGAACGTCAAGGCTATCAACAACTGACTCAAATTGTAAGAATTTCCCATCTGAACAGTAAAAAATATGACAACTACTCACGCCATCAAAACGTCTAGCCATCGTAAGCTCATCTTCTTTCCTCAACGACTCAAAATAGTCTATGTGCCTGAAAAGAAAGTTGATTATAGACAAAGAACCAAGACTGAAACAATCTGAATGGTGAATGCCTCATCTACTTGTCTAGGGCGATGTTTTCATGGGACCGAAGCTTATCCATGATTGGCTGGATGCCCAACATCAGAAACTCATAGCGCAGATGGATCCGGAACTCCATGCTGGTCTGAGATACGATAAAACAGGAGACATAAAGGAACCTGGAACCTGATCAAAGAACAAAAAGACAAAAACATGGTTTACCTGCCCAGCTCCCTGACTGAGTACAGCATTGATGAAGGACATGATGGCCGTCTTCAGGCTGACTTCATCCCTGTATCGACCTGTGGACCGGTCCAAGTCTGTCATCAGGTTCTGCATGCAGAAAACATCAAATTAAGGCATCCCCCAAATTCTAGTCCATGCTATTATTACACACAGTAATAAATCTTCCATCTTTTTGGTTTTACTTAGAACACAATGTAAAGCTTTAACCTTTAACTTTCTTTTATCCAGGTCACTCCAGCAGCCTTGTATGATCATAAGCACCCTTTTATCCACACAGGAGACCAATAGAGGCCCCATTTAAAGTTTTACACATATTTTTCATTTTTAAATGGAAAGAGTATGGCATAACCACAACTACCAAGAAATGACTGCCCAGCTACAGCTATAGTCCGAACAAATAAAGGATGAATTAAAAAAGCTGCTAACAGGCCCGTGCCAACTTTAAAGGAGCTACAGAAAGCAAAGGTCTGGTGGAATAATATTATTTTATCCATCCATCCAACCATCTTCCATAATGCTTATCCCTGCTGGGGTCGCAAGGGGTGCTGACGCCTATCTCCAGCTGTCAGTGGGCGAGAGGCGGGGTAGACACTGGCAACACAGAAAAAACAAACAAACATTTCCTCACACACACACACACACACACACACTTAAGGATAATTTAGAGAAGCCAATTAAGGCAACAGTCATGTTTTTGGACTGTGGGAGGAAGTCGGAGTACCCGGAGAGAACCCACTCATGCACAGGGAGAACATGCAAACTCCAAGCAGAATGACCCTGGGCCGGGAATCAATCACAGAACCTTCTTGCTGCAAGGCAGCAGTGCTACCCACTGCACAACCCTACAATTATTTCAGTTAGATCATGTTATTTTTATTGGACAGCCAAGACAGATTGTGAGCAATCTTTTGACAACTAATCAGACGTCATAATCGGCATAGTTTTTACTCTTTAGCTCCTTTGGATGGCTTTTTTTTTTTCATACACTTGCATTAAAAAATACCCATAGCATTTTATTTTAAATGATCATCTTACATACTTGTTTTCTTAAACCAGGCTGTGTATGGAAGCTGTTTACTTTAGTTGAGTTATTCTTTTGTTTTTTGTTTTTATTTGAAATCACCATCTGGGTGATTATGGAGGGCAACGAGTGCCACAATATAACAAATAAATACCTTTTGAAATGATTATTTAAATGAGTCATTGATGAAAAACTGATAAAAATGCAATTAATTATAGAAATATATAGTTAAATATATTTATATCTGTAGAATGATTATTATTATCCCTCTTTTTGACTAATGGATCAGTGACAGTTTAAAATAATTCATAGTGTTTCAGCGCAAGAACATGTAATCATAAAAAAATCCTATTTATTTTATTAAATAAAATCATTACATTGAACTGAGGCCTATATAATAAATTACATATTTCTTAAATACATTTTGTATTTATTTTTAATAACCTAATGATACTTTTAAATAATTATTTTATTATATAAATAGTGTATGATCAAAGTCTGACGTTTTCAGCGCTGCTTTGTGACTGAAAGGGTTTTCAGCAAGAAAGTCCTGGGTTCAAATTGTAATCTAGGGGCTTTGCAAATGGAGTTTCTTTTATGTTTTTCTTGGATTCATGCAGGCATGTTCTCCCCATATGCTCTGGCTTTCCCCTACATTTCAAAAATAAGAATTTAAGTTTAACTTGTCACTTATCACGCTTTATCAGGTCCTTATCACAACCTTTACCTAAATAATCAGATAAAACATGTTTACTTGAGAGCTTGAATCGTTTGTATAGAAAGTAAAGAGATGATGGCTGATTGTTATCAGAGAGCTGGACACACAGATATGTAGGGAGTATTCTATGATTAAAACCTTGTCACTTCCTATAACCTTCTGAAAGACCGATTAATCTGGACAGATAACTTTTATTTCATAGTTTTAATTTCCCTAATTATTCAAAATACTTGTTGAATAATTAGCATTGATTGTATGTGCTGTTAAATATCTATCCGTGTGATTTTCAGCCCAGGTTAAATATTACTAATCAAACTTTGCTACTGATTTACACTTGCTTTATTTACTATAATTTATCTTATCTATCAGATAATCTATGATAGGTATCTCCAGCATGTTTGTGCAGGTTGTTTTTCTAGTCTGCCTCTGTTATATCTTTTAATCATTACCATATTTAAGCTCAACAGCGAGAATTAAACCCCAGGTCCTCAGTGATAGATAAAATCTGCAGAAGATCTTTGAATAACTTAATGCAGTTCATTGTCATAAGTCTAGAAAATTGCCACCTTTGATTGCAGTTACTCAAGAAAGAGAAAAAAAAACTCATAAAGTACTAATTATTTTTTAACAAATCAGTCGTGGCACATTGCAAACAATTGACTATTTGCAAAAAATGTTTTTAAAGTAAATGTTTATAAACTACTAAACAGTAATTTATTGCATCCATCCATCCATTGTCGGTCATGCTTATTCCATCGCTGGTGTCTATCTCCAGCTGTCTACGGGGGAGAGGCGGGTTACGCCCTGGACAGGTTATCAGTCCATCGCAGGGATTTATTGCATCCTAACAATTTAATTTGAAGCAGAAAAAAATAGCTATTTTTGCCACTTTTCAGATGATGACAACATATTTAGGTAAGATGGATTAATGTACGATGTACAAAGTAATGTTCAAGAAGTTTATAACTGGAAATGTGATCACTGCTGAATGAGTTTATGTTGCAACTATGACAGTAAAGGTTCAGCATGTCTCTATAGCAACCACTGGAGACTACAGTATTTGAACATTGTTTTGGAGGCTTGCAAACCGAATGCTTTGTCCAGTCTATAGTCCAAAACATCTGCATGTTAAGTTTGCTTAACTCATTTTTCAGATGATAAAAAGATTGGGATTTCCAAGTAGAAATATCTCCAGACATGTCTTAGGTTAAAAAAAGGAGATTTTATGTGTGACAGGTTCACATAAAACAAAATAAATCTTTGTTGGATCGTTTAGGGGAAAGTAATTATCTACAACAAATGCAGAGCAACACATAAGTGGACACAAACACAAACATTTTCTCTTTAATTAGCTTCTCAGCCTACAGACATAAATTCTATAGAGAAGCGCCAACGTGGTTAGGATTTCATGTTATCTGCACATCCACAGAATTGTTTTCGGGCTGTAAATAAAAGGCAATGGTTATTTCAAGAACTATGAGCCTTAAAATTTCCCTACACCTAGTGCTGTAACTTCACTAATGTTTGCTCAATGCTTGCAATCTTTGAATTCTTTCAAGTTGTGTGCATATAGTGGTCGAATTCCTATGTGTGCAACAGCAGGCTGACCAAACAAAAACTGTTAACCTGGACCCTGAACTCACAGCTTCAGTTTAAAGATTGTTAAAATGCTTTTGTAAATGTAACTTTCACATCTACTCCTTACATGTTTTGCAGAGATTATCAGAAACATAAAAAAAACCTGCCATAAGGTAATATAGGCTTCTGTATTTATGGGTTCAAGGTTTTTCTTTTTTTTTTTTTTTCTTGTTTTTGTGGTTGTTGTTTTTCCTCTTTTAAATGAAACATCCAAAACTCTACATTAGTTCTTGTTTACTGTTCCAAAAACAGACCTGGAATCGAGTTCTTTCTGAGGCGAAGTTCTGGTAGTGCAGCATCGCCTCCAAGACTTTCTTATGACCTCCTGGGACGAGACAAACAGCACCGAGGATCTCCAAGACTGCCACCTGAGGATATGGAGACAAATAGACTTGAGATAAGTTCATAAAATAAAAAAAAAATAAAAAATATAACTTAAGAGATTTTAGGGACACAGTATTTGAAAATATGACTTCATTTCCTCAAACAATGTTTTACTTTCTGGTAAAACATCTACCAGCAAGTATTTTTCTCAAATTCCTATGCCAGCTGGCATGTTAAAGTGAAACTTGCATGTGGGTTTTGTGTTGATACTGGCAAATGGATTTTAAGAACAAACTTTAACTGCATAGCTGAAATTCCCATGGAGATGTTGTCTCTGGGAAGCTAACAGTCAGGATTTTACAGGTTTGGTCTGTTTGATGTTTTGGTTGCTCAGGGAAGGGAGCGGTCAAATACTGTCCTGGTACTTTGTTGAGTGGGGCACACACTCAAAGATTGACCTTGTAGAAAACCACAGGTTTAAACACTGGAAAGGGGCCCAATGGAGTTGATATAGGTTCGATTAACTCTGTCTGCTCTGAACATGCCTTCCACCTGAATATGCCACAAAGTTTGATTGAACAGACCAGGAAACCTGTAGGGTGTTAAGGGAGCAGAGTGACGAAGCAGATGCAGCAGAACGTTCTTTATCTGTCCTGCTTCTATCTAATATGGTCCATTCAGAACAAAATGTCTTTTCAATTAGATTTCCCCAATAGCTGAGTGGAATGAAGAGGTTTGTGGGAACTGAACGCTAGGACTTCTGTCCATCTAGTGAATAACCCAATAGCAAAAATGTTCCACCTCAGGAGACACATTTATCATATGTTTATGTAATTTTTACATTATTTAACAAATACATTTTGTTTCTATGTAGCAACAGCTGTTACACATAGGAGCTATCTTCATAGAATTGCAAACGCTACATCCACACACCTTGGTTTTTATATTTTCTGCAACTAGACTTTGTGCAATGATGTTGATGCTCTCTGGGTGTCCCAGGACATGAGTTCTGCCATCAGAACTGTTCATCAGAGCCTTGATGCAGCCGATCAATGACGTGTGAACCTGGGATTCCGTCGTATCATAGTCCATGGACTTTAGGAAGTTAAGGATGCAGGAGAGGCCATCCTGCTCAAGGAAGCCAGTCACGAATCTGCAGGTCAGTGAAAGTAGTTAATCTTGAAGCGCTCTGTCAGTCAGAGGCGTGTTTATTGCTTTGATTAAGTAATTGTACCTTATTGGCTGAGTCCGCAGAGCTGTTTTCAGACCATCAACAGCCTTTAGTCTGCCTTGATCCTCTTCATCCAATGCATGCAGTGGCTTCCTCTGAGGAGACATGGGTGAAATCAACAAAATTCCTCAGCATTCAAAAAAGATACCCTGCTGAGGAGTTTTGGCTTCTTCTGGGTGAGTGATACATCTCTCTTTTGCAGAATGATGGACGAAATGTTCAGAAATAACTCACAGCGGCCATTGAGTTCAGCTGGTCAATGTAAAATTCAGGCCAGCTAGTTGCTCCTTTTTCCCCGTCTGCATCCTGAAAAACCCACAAAACAGTCATTAGTATACACTCTTACCCTGGACCATATTAGTTCCCCCACTATAGCAGCTATTATCTTTGACCAATTTAGTTTCTTTGAATAGAAAGCCCCCGCTTAAAGGAAGAAAAACCCACAAAGGACAAAGAAATAACTTGATTCTGACCAAAGTAATACATATAAATATACATATTTACATATAAATTATCTTAAAAAAAAAAAAAAAACTGGAAATATCGGCTTAGACTTCTAGAGGACATAGGGGCCCGTTTTCATCCTTCTGCTTCATTCTATTACACATTATGAAGTGTTTGTTATGTTCCACCTGTAACTTTATGTTCTCTCTGTTTTTTCTTGTCATAGTAGCTTCATCTGGTCTGTTCCTATGAGGCTGTGGCTCCATATCAAAATCAAATATCAGCTGGGCTGATGCCTTCAACACCTTTGTTTATAGATGTTGGATCTTTTTTCAGTGTAGTCCTGTTTCTCTTACTGTGACTAACTGTGTGTGATTTCTAGTGCTGCACCGATACCAATACCAGTATCGGACGGGGCCCCGATACTGCCCAAAAATGGTGGTATTGGTATCGGTGAGTACCAACAAATAGGGCACCAATACCATTTTGAGAGCCATAAGTTTATTCAACTATTGTCACCTACTCCTGGTAGGCAATAAAAAGTTCTACTGGATTCACTTTGTATTAGATTTTTTCCTGCTTCACAAAGGTAGGCAGCAGCTCGACAAAGCCGTGATGGCAATTATTTTACATTATTATGGTATCGGTATCGGCCGATACTGCACAGCCAGGTATCGGGTATCGGTATCGGGGCCAAAAAATGGCATCAGCGCAACACTAGTGATTTCTTAAATCCTCTGACATGGGAGCTGGCTCAAAGAAGGCCGCTCATACTGTTTCTTCTGGATATTTCTCACTGTTTAAAGGGAGTTTTCCCCTCCACTGCCTTTTCCAAGTACGTCGGTGTGAGGGATTTGTGTCGAGTCAAAGAGTCGATGTAATCATCTGGTTTTCCTTATTATGAACACATCGCATTGTATGATCTGGTTGACAGAAGTGCCTTGAGATGATATGTTGGGAACTGGTGCTATATACATAAACTGAAAAGAACTGAATTTAAAATCTGACCATGCTTTTAAAACTTGATTCAACAAAACAATCTTTTAAAAAACAACTCATATAACTGGCCTAGACAAATATAAAGGTCCCACCAACCATTACTGTAACTGTTAATGGACCTCTGCTCCTCTCAGCAGGTATTTTGCTCCACTCCTCACGAGCAAACTCCTCTAGTTGTCTAAGGGTTTGAAGGAGGCCTTTTCCAGAGGGCATGTTTCAGTTACTTCTAAAGATACTCAACAGGATTAAGGTCATGGCTCATTGAAGGCCACTTCAGAATAGTCCACATTTTTCTACCAAGCAATTGATTGGTGTTTTTAGCAGGGTGTTTTGGGTCATTATCCTGTTGCAACACCCATGACCTGCAATTGAAACCTGACACTTGGCAGCACATTTCCCCCCTAGATCCCTACATATACGAGGTTGTATTGTAACCTGTAGAGATTCAAGACACCCTGTGCCATTTAAAGCAAGGCAGCCCAAGAGGAATCTTAAAAGGATCTTAAATTTCTGAATAACATGTACAATTGTAGTCACATGAATATCTAGCTGCTTGGAGACTGTCCTATAGCCTTTGTCTTTAATTTGCTTGCTTGTAGTTTTATTTTTAATCTCCTGAGACAACTCTTTCCTTCGCTTTCTTTGGCCCATGTTGAGTGTGGTATGCACCATGTCACAAAGCAACACTGTGACCACCAGAAGGCCCACTGACTGATTACAAGATTGTAGACACATGATGCTAATTAGTGGACACACCTTGATTTGACATGTTTGGGCACATTATTTCAGTCTTTTCTAGGTGTACCATCATTTTTGTCCAGACCTGTTCCAAAAGTTTTTTTTTAATCAGTCTGTTAAAGCATGGTTTAACAGCAACACCTGACACCGACACTTTGTTAATTTCCATATATTTTTTTTAATTGTTACTTTTATCATATTCAAGTAATTTCAATAACTATCCTGGGTTTTTCTTTTATTAAATGAGGAATACCAACAATTTTGTCCACATGTATATACACACAGGTTTGTAGGACATCCCTTTGCTGACTGGAAAACATCAGAAATATACTGGAATATCATATTTAAATATTTAAATATTTCACGAAGTACTGGTATAAAAATTAAATAGAATATTTTAACCAAACAAGCCCAAAGCCTAAAAACCTCTTGAGGGAAATTGTAATAGAATGCATCCATAACAAGATGAAAGCTCATTAATTCAGTTACTAGCTGAATCAGAAAAAAAAAAAATTTGGAACTCTTTTTTTTTTTTTTTTGGAACTATTCAAAAAGTCAGATTAAGAGATGGCCAAGGCCTAAGATCTATAGTTTTCACAGAAACAAAAAACAGTGAACTTGGTTTAAATATTTTTCAAGCAATCAGTTCTAAAATAGAGTCTAAACAGAATCGTAGGTCTGAGTATGACCAATGAGCTGAATATAAGGTAGACTTTTTATAAAGGTTCTTACCATTTTCTTACTCCAGTAAAGCTTCCATTTTTTCTCTGGTGGCAAAGCAAACATGGCCGCTCTGTGCTTCTCTGAAAGCTCCAGTTCATCCTAGAGAAAACAAAAAAGAGTGATTAATGTCTGAACCTATATTCCAAAAACTGGCAGAAACTGTGGCCCTGAACGCACCACTAGTTCGGTGAACTTGGAGTTCAGCTCCTGGATGGGAGGCATGGGCATCGTAGGCTCCATCGCCTTGACATTTTCACCACAGTAGCGAATTTCTGGTTGGTCATTTTCTCTGTTGCAGCATGGAAAGAGAGAAGCAAGGCCTCTCCCTCGAGACTCTTTCTCTCCAGATGCCATGGTTTACAACAAAAATGAACTTGAAAGACAGAAACACAGATAGACAACATTACGTTTAGTTTAATCAGCTTGTCTCACTGTGTGGTGTGGAGGCTGCAGCGCCTCAGACTGGAAGAAGGTGAGAATAGCAGAGAGGTCATCAGAGCTTTCATCCTAGCGCTGCGTGTCCAGAGCCCATAACATCAGCGACCCCTCTCACCCGCACCGTGCACTGTTCTCCCTGCTGCCTACCAGGAAGAGGCTTCACAATATTTGATGCAGGACCAGCAAGTTCTGCAACAGCTTTTTCCATTTCTGCTATAAGACCGTTGAACAGCGTGTCCTGGGCCTCCCACTGGGCATCCTTCCGGTGGGACGTGCCTGGAATACCTCACCAGGGAGACGTCAGGCAGGCATCCTAATCAGATGCCCGAGCCACCTCAACTGGCTCCTCTCGATGTGGAGGAGCAGCGGCTCTACTCTGAGTCCTCCCCTGATGGGACTACATTTTGCACCATATTCATTTATCTTTGCACTTCTCTTAATCTTCCATATCAATGCCTTTTGCACAATGTCTCTCCTACACTGTTTACATGTTGATCACTGCTGCACTTTATAAATGGAAATGTTAATTTCACTGCTAAGCTCATCATTCACTGTTGAAAAGCTGTATGCATCGAACTTTTGTTTTGTATACACTGTGTTTGTACAAAATGACAATTAAGTTTGTCTAAGTATAAGTCTTATGTTGAACTTAAAGCATCCAGTCGCATCCAAATTTTTAAAAAATGTTGGGTTGGTGAGGTAACCAGCATTTATCTTCAAAGTGCCGCCTGCCTTTGATGACAGTAAAGGTGCTATGACTCATAAGTGTCTGACTTTAACTCTACCTTGCCTTGATTAGTCTGAGTCTGGCTCAGCCAGTCTTATTAGGACCTGGTCTTGGTTTAACTTTGGTTTATTTGTCCTGCCCGGGTTCAGTGTCTCCAGGTCCTAATCAGACTCTGGTACTGCTGGTGTTAGTTGGAAATAGCCAAGCCTTGTTTATCTTTGACTCCTGTTCACCTGATTTCAGTCAATCTTAAAATTTCTTTGTTTCATTTTGATCTTGGTCTGGCTATGTTTAGTCTGACTCTGTCGACCTGATCTCTTTTTTTTTCTGATTTACCAGTTTTCAATCTGTTTTTTTGTCTGTCTGGCAGCAGTTAACCTATTCTCCGTCTGGTTCATATTCAGCTAGTCTCACTAAGACTCGGGTTTGTCGGGTCTCACAGGGAGTCCCGTTTGGCTAAATTAAAATGGACTGTGGCTAGTTTAAATTTGGTTTGAATTTTACCCTGGTTGGCCTAGTCTCTCTACTTTGTTCTGGGTCTAGTTTGCCAGTTCTCAGTATTTAGTCACCCTGACAGCAATTCCTGTAGCCCAAGTCTGTCTCATATTCCCTTGGTCTCAGATGGACTCTAGTTTTCCTGCCCAAAGGACTCAAAGGAAGTTGGTATTTTGTCCAAGTCTCATTCACATATCATCCCTCACCAGTCCAATTTGCTGGTCTAGTTCTGGTTGTCCTAGTGTTAGACTGGGCCGTTCATTTGTCTAAGTCTTGCTCTTGTAATCACATCTTGGTTTAAACCAGCTACCTACAGTAATAAACATCCTGCATTCTCTCAGCGACGATAGGATCATTTATAGATAATCAGAGCAAACTTTCATTCTGCAGTCTTCAAGGACTTTCTTTCAACAACATCATGCTTTCATTTACACTTCTCACCTAAGATGTATAGAATTCACAGGGGTAGACACAAAAACATGGATCAGTTAGATTTAATTAGCCTTGTTTACGGGGACCTTTTCTTTAATTAGATTGTCTCTAAAGTAATGGAAGTTAAAATAAATTGATCTGATTTAACTGATTTATTTGGTTTGTTTTATATATACCGGTAATAATCTGATACTTTCTTTAAACTGAGTTTAAAGCTGAAGCATTTGCTTATCTTAATAAAACACCAAACTATGTTTTCAGATGGAGACCCTGACTCCAAAGTTCGAAACCTCTGAGTTTCATCCCAGGTCAATGACCTCTGTATTTAGACCAAAACATATTACTCGCCCCATGTGAGAGTTAATACATGGATTTGTGGTCTGTTTGATATGCCACAGTAAGACACATCTTGGAGAACTGATAACACCAGATAAAAACAAAATAAAAAACAATATCTGGGGTTTTTATTGAGGAGATAATGTGTAATTCTCTTACCTGTAGGATCCTTACTTATGTCACAGGGCGTGAAGACATTTTCCCGCTGTGATTGGTCTGATAGTTTCCTTTATTCTTAAACTGCTGTCTCCAATTTAACATGCCTTACATGCTTTTAAGTATAAAAAAATTAAATAAAAATAAAAAATCATAGGCAAAATCCGGTCACAGCAACTTTTAGTGAAAATCAGGTCCCACAGCCGTTTCCCTCCACAGTGACTCTCCTGTTGAGCTGATTCACGCCGTTTGTCCAGTTTTACAGAAACCTGTGGAACTGCACCAGCCTCTGTTCCTTCACCGGTCTTCTCTGTCATTTCATATTTACCTGATGTTACAGTCAGAAGTTGCAGGTGTGTGTGTGAGCGTGCACGTCAAACAGACAAGGAACTGGCTCACAGCCACGGCGGGAGTTTAAAACACACACACAACTACATTCCTGCAGCTGTGGTCACACCCATCCTTGCCTCACCCCTGAAAAGGGAGGAGGGTGAGGAATTCTGTGGTAATATCTGTGCCTGATCCTGATGTGTGACCTGCAAATCAGCAGGTGAACTGAGCATCCAGCAGAACTGGAAGTTGTAATTTCCAGTTGCTGTTAAAGATCTCCTTAATCACAATTTAACAGTAAATAAAGCTTAAACAATATATACCTATACTGTTTTCATTCCTCCATAGAAGGAATACAGTCCTCATGCTTCTAAGAATAGCTTTGAAATGTGTTATGTGTTATGAAGCTGCATGACATTCCAACAACGTTATCTGATTATTCAAAAACGAAAAAGCTGGCCTGCCTTCAGGAAGAAGGTCTGTCACATTTACAGTTAAAATAAAAGCTTAGCCAGTTCTTCCGGGATACAAACATCAGCTCATACAGAGGTTGTACTGGGAGAGGTTGAGGTGACCAGTTAAACAAGCTGGTTTACAAGAGCCAAACAAGTATCAAACACCAATCAACTTGTCTATACTGGTAGCTGTAAAACGCCCAAAAGTGCAAATGCGAATATTTCAGTGAGTTAGTTGCAAACTCATGGCCATACATATACATGTTAGAAATATGCACTAATTATAAATCTGCAGTGGAAAATAATTACCAAGACCAGGCAAAAGAAAAGGCAAAATTGAAACAAAAAGAGTGAAAAGACCTTATTACAAAATCCTGTAATAAATTAAGTAAAAAATACAACTTATTTTGTTTCAGTTATGTATTTATTAGTCTGATCTAAAATGCTGATAGCAGTGGGAATAAAATATTACTTAAATATATCCCACTAGAGTTAAAAAGCTAAATCTAAATGAAAAGAGAATTAAACCTCTGTTTGATTTTCTGAGATTTCTTTCTTATAGGTTTCTAGGTTTTCCAACTATTTTGCTAACTAGTGACACACAGTCCTGTTTCATTTGTACCTAAATTCCTTTAGGTACATGGGAGCTGGCTTGGAGCTCGTCAGCCTGGCTGTGTGTTTCCTGGACGGGGCCGCAGCTGCTTTTTGTGTCTATGCTTCTGTCTCCTTGAACCCCAGTTGGCCTCAGCAGATAGCTGAACCTACCATTGAATTGAATGGTAGGTAAGCAACCCAAGCAGCTTTGGTAAAACTCCCTTAATGTTTGCCCTGCAGATGTCAGAGATCAGTCACTGTGAACCCTTTTCTCAAACCACAATCTTTTTTCAGAGAAACTAGGATTGCAACTGAAAAAAGGGCCGTCAGACATTTACAAGTCATTACAATTTAATGAGTTGTTTAATGCAGCTGGCTTTTGTCATCTATGATTAATCTGCTCTTGTGAGTCATAGCAATCAAAAGTCTACTCTTGGGATTTTCATTCTAGATTTTTTATTTACGTTTGTTTTAAATATAATGTGACATTGATCCCATTACCTTCAGCTGAAAAACAAACACCTAGGTTGAAGAAAAGGAAAACAAGGGACATTACATTTCCACTCATCTGTGCAAAGATTCTTAATTTCTCTCAGATTATGAGAACATAAGCTGCTTTTTAATCCATTTTAATTTTGCAGTGATTAAACCATTACAGAATTGGGGTTTTCTTCTTATTTGACATTATTTTGTTGGTTTGGGTTTATGCTGGTGTCCACAGTCATTATGAAAAAATTATTTTCATTGTCAGCTTTTGAAGAAAACGCTTGAAGGTTTGGATCCAAAAACTATGGGAAAGTAATCTAAGAAAATTATGTTATCAGCCCCGCATGTTGCTTCTTAGGTTATTATCAGTGTTTTGTTTTATTTCAAACCTTAGAGATCATAAAAGTTCAAGTTTGAGAGCCATAATGGTAACTAGGAGCAACAATAGTTGTAAAACATTTGCAGCCTTTAAAACACATTAGACTTGTCACGTTTCAGAGCACTGAAACAGCATTAACAACTTCTCTTCAGTTGTTGACAGTTTGATCCTTCTCAATAGGATGTTTTTCAGAAGGATCCCTTAATGCATGGACGTAATTTGGAGGGGGGACATGTCCCCTGCACTTTTTCAAAAGTCCGTTCTTGTCCCCTGCACTTTTTGCTGTCCAAAAACAATGTTAGGCTACAGTACACAGACAATCGTCTTCCCTGAGTTTAGAACGCCCACAAGCTCCTGATTGGGCTTGGTCCATCTTTTCTTGTGTGATTGGCGCACAGTGCTGTCATTCCACTGAAGCTCACTTTATGCAACCCCTGAATCTGGTCTGTGAAAGGTTTTGTAGAAAAACGTAGATCTGCAAAAGACGGCAGTTGGCAAGGGAATCTGCTACTGTCTAGGGTTGTAATGTTAGGTGTATGAATTTTTAGAAATCTTTTAATTGGTCTCATATGCTTGCACATGTTCGTGTGTGTTTGGTTATTAGACTCGCAGTCAGGATATCTGAAAAAAGAGAGACATCATAGAGGTCTTAAAAAGTCAATGTGTTAGTTACATTAAAAGAACTGTCTAACACCCCTCCTAAAAAAAAAAAAAAAACCCTCACTGGCTCCATGAAGCAACAGATCCACTTCAAGATCCTCCACTGCATTTTAAAGCTTTCAATAAGCTTGCAAAGTATATTTGTTTTATTAAAGTGCTGATAAATCAAAGGTATTATTCCATCTATCCATTTTCCATCATGCTTTATCCCAGCTGGGGTCGCGAGTGGTGCTGGTGCCTCTCTCCATCTGTCTACGGACCAGAGGCGGGGTACACCAAGGACAGGTCGCCGGTCCATCGCAATGCCAAATGTTTTATTGTTAAATATTATTATTAATCACGAAACAAGGAAAAAAATACAAACTACGAATGCGATTTTAGATCTCCAAGCTAATAATAATAGTAAAACTATGTGTTTTTAATTTGAACGGATTGTTGCACCCCAAATTGTCCAGTTGTTCATGTCATGCATCCATATATTTTGTCAGGAGAGGGATAGCAGAGATCCATGAGAAAGTGGAGGAAACAAACACAGAAGAACTACTGGAAAATAAACTGAACTTATATATATTAAATAATACTTGCACCCCACCCACTTTTGAAATCAAAATTTCATCCATGCCTTAATGCCAAGTTTTAGAGCATCAGCTGCCAATACCAGAGACCCACATTGTGTGTTACCCTAATTGGTTTTGTAGTAAGGTTTTGAATACAAGCTTGGATTCTTTCTCTGTAAGGAAACAATAGTCTTGCAGTCATAATCATAAGTCAAGACATGTAGGGGGCTATTGTGACATAAGCAGGGCTTGATGGAAATTCCTAAAACTCCTTCCTGCTGGCCTCATGAAAGCCTCCTTGTCCAGTTTCAGTGCAAATGCTCTGAAATCCTTTCTTGCTCGCACACACCCAACGTTCCCTCTAAGCTGAGCGCTTGCGCAATTGCTCACTGCTCGTGCATTCTCAGCGCACAAGAAAATCTATGCAGCGCATATTAAATCTAACATAAACTGTAAATCAAATAAACTAATAACACTTTTTCAGTATAATTTTTAATTTTGAAATATGTTTCAAAGATGAATTTGGATAAATATGTATAATAAAACAGGAGAATTCCTTTAAAAATAGTTCAGCCACTGTCCTTATTCAGCGCACGAACGAGCGCTGCAGGAGCATAAATAAATAATCCAGCAGGAAGACAAATATATGACCGACTTATTTTCCAGTCTAGGATTTCTAAGCAATAAAACTCACAGATTCATAACAGTCCTGCTGTCAAACTTGCACACAGCTGAAGATCCATCCATTCACCACGTGGCGCGATGCTCCGAGTGACCTTTTTTTGTTTGCTAGTTTGTTTGTTTTTTAAATTCAAGTACATGATGAAGCAAATTTTCAGATATGTGGCTCATGGATGAAATCTTTATTTCAGAAGTGGCGGGATGCAAGTATTTATTTTAAAATAACTAACTTCAGGGTGTTTGACCATCCAATCACAGACCCATTCAGTGGCGCATCAGAGGTTTGTAAACTGAGCCTCTTGGGAGTGACAGCGGTGACAGCCAATCACACGAGGAAATATGGTGGGCCAATCAGGAGCTTATGGGTGGTCTAAACTCAGGGAAGCTGGCTTCACAGTAAATGTTGCAGTGTTAAAGTAACATTCAAGAGTACATTTGGTGCCAATCTGAATTAGTGTGGGACCAAATGTACTCTCAAAGTGTAACTTTAACACTGCAACAATTAGTGTGAGCTTGAGCTGCAGTTTATCCACTTGGTCCTAATGCTTAACGAATGTCAGGGTACTGTAGCGTAATAAAACATATGTCAAAAAAAGTGCAGGGGACATGTCCCCCCTGTCCCACCAAAAAGTTACATCCATGTGGTGGCTGCAGCTCTAGATATAAATTCACTCTCTGCATTTGACCTCATCCCCTTGTGGAGCAATGGGCTGCCATGGGGTTAAGGGTCCAGCTCAGGCTGAGGCTGTGGGGTTCGAACCAGGTATGCAACCTTCTCTAGAGAAGCGCACTTCTCTAACCACTAGGCCAACACTCCTGTGAAAGACTATTTAGTTTAATGAATAGTATCAAACCAGCATCATCTTACATGTAGCGTTCTGCACATCTCATGAAAAAAAAAATAGTTTTTTTGTTATGGGCAAAAAAACAACACTTAAATGAAAAATAAACTGATGGAAATTGATGCTGTAATATATTATTTATTTAATAATCCACATTGCTATGATCCCGGGTTTATAACAAGTTTTGTGGCCTAAAAGCGTTCACATCTGATGTTGCTCACAGTGATCCTCAGTCTCAAGGGGCTAGTATTTGAAAAATTAGAGGTAACTTTGCAAACACCTTTTTTTATCCCAAATATCCTCTCTGCAATCTGTGGGT